CCATCCAAATTCCCCCCCCCCCCCCCCCCCCCTTTTTTTAATGCTGGTCAATCCACCTGCTCGTTGCGTTGCCTTGACAGATGCGGCCTTGACCTACTTGCGTTCGCGCGACGTGGTTCACCGTGACCTCAAACCACACGTTCGTAAAACCGAGTCACGTTGCTAGCTGACTTTGCCAGCTGACTTTGCCGTCCCTCATTCTCGCAATTTCCATCACACCATGCCTTATCGCTGCCCTGGTGTACTTTTGGCCATTTCTCTCCGTGGCTTTCTATCGGGATTGGTCCTTCGCAGAATGTCTTGCTGTCCAAGACGCCATCGGGCAAGATTATTTTGAAGTTGGCGGATTTCGGTTTTGCGCGCATTTTGGGTGAAGGTGAGAGCCGTGACGCCTGCCTTGAGGCCGTTGCTGACCGTCTGGCAAGGCGTCACATTGTCTCACAATGTCTGTGTGATCCGCGGCTGCCAGATGATTTGGCCGCCACCTTTTGCGGCAGTCCACTCTACATGGCGCCTGAAGTCTTGGATCGGGATGCCTATTCAGCCAAGGCTGAGCTTTGGTCCCTGGTATGTATTTATACTTACTCTGACACTTGTTCTGATACTTGCTCTTCTTGACAGACATGCACTTGCTTTTTCTGGCTCCATGCTACATTGTGCTGTCCCCGATTTGGGGTGTCGTCGTCGTCTCACCCTCCCTGTCTCCTGTCTCCCGTCTCCCGCACCGGCCATCTTCTCATGACACAGGGAGTCATCTTGTTCTCGTGCGTCACGGGACACCCACCCTTTCGGGCTCAAAGTTTGCCGGCGCTGCGCGCCCAAATCAAGAACCCACACCTCAAGCCCGACATCCCTGCCTCCACCTCAACGGACCTAGCCGATCTCCTCCTTCAGCTTTTGCAGGTGGACCCGGAACACCGCATGACTCTTGCCGAGTTGGCCCGACACCCCTTTGTGCGTCGTGCAGCACATGGCACCGATGCTCAGCATCAGACGCGCAGCAGTGCCGACCTCTCCGCCGAAGCTGTGCCTCTGCCGAGCTCGTCCCATCCAGGCTCGGATCGAGAGGGCGTCGATGAAGCCGCCTCTGGCTTGGCCACTCCGACGCCGAGCGAAGGTGCATCAGCCACCCATGCGTCTGGAGCTGAGCCTGGTCTCATTCGCGGTAGCACGGATGGCAGCGACGCAACCGGACTGCACGCTTCTCATTCGGCACATTCCAGCAACAATGACTATGTGATCTTGGACGAAATGTCTGTGAACCTGGGCATGATCAACGATGCCATGGCTGGCAACATGTACCGCAGCCCCAGTGGCGTGCGGCGCCTTGGTCCCTTTGCCTTTGGCAGTGCTCCGGCTGCTGCCCAGCCCCCGCCCTCGCCATCCTCCATCACGACTCTGGCCGAGTTTCAGGCTCGGGTTGAGCAACTGGTGAAACCGGCGGTAAGCTTGACAGACACGATGTTTCTGCTTTGCGTCATGTCGGCATCGGGTTCTTCACAAACTCACGGTGGCGTTTGGTCTTACTTCTTGTCCCCAACTTCCTTTTCCCATCCATTGCAGAACGTGGTCATTCAGCTGGCACGAACACGCTGTCCCTTGGAGGAGCTAGACGCGTCAACGGAGAGCGCCAGCAGCAGTCACGCAGGCGACCTGCGCCCTGGCCAGTCTCACTGCGAGGCGTTTTTGTTGCTGCGTAAAGCCATGAACATTTTTCGCACTGGCATGCGCTCCCTGCGCTTTGCTGTGCAAGACCATCCCGAGTGGTTAAGAGACGCCCGCGTGAAGACACAAATGGAGATTCTGGTAGACTCGTTCCGCTTTTGCCTGCGCGAGACGGAGCGTCTGCAAGCCTTGAACGTGGGCGCGCTCCTCGCCCAGCTGCCATCGGTTCCCTCAGCCGAGCAGTTGCTGTACGAGTACGCCATTCACCTTTGCCGTGAAGCGGTTGAGGCTGACAAACGCGGTCGCTACCGCTCCAGCTCCAACGATTATCGCGAGGCGCTCATTTACTTTCGCATTGTCCTGGATTCGGCCCCGATCGAGGTATGCCCACCCACCGAGCTCTCACAGTCACAGCCGCAGGGCAGAAGCATGCTTACCAAGAGAAATGAATGGCTCGGGAAGGACATGAAAACAGAAGACGCGAAGCCTCACTTCAGCTCACGCAATGTGGCATCGGCTTGTGATTTGAACTTTGATAGGATCAACCGGTCATTCAGCGATATATCGCCCGCACCGAACAATTGCTGGCCAAGGTTTATGCCAAGCAAGATGGCGTTGAAGACATGGCACCGACCTCGGGCAGTGGCGCCGGGCCCGAGCATCTGCTGCAGGATGCCGTCGCGGGTGACGAGGACGAGACCGCCGCCCTGGCCAGGCGTGGCATGTTCGAAGGCGGGCCGTCCGACGAGCTCACAGAGCAGTTGCGGGGCCTATCGCCTTTCCAGTCACCTGTGCAGGGCTTGACGCGACAGGATATGCAGCGCATCGCTCTGCAACAACACCCGCACGGGTTTATGACATCCAATTCACCTCCTCTCTCGGGCTCGGGCTTGTCCCCGCCTCGTCTGGGCTACGATATGGGGTACGATCCGAGCATGGGCTATGACATGCCCCTAGATTGGCAGGGCCACTCACCGCCTCAAGCCACTGTTGGGTGGCCCATGCTCGAGGGGGCTGCAGCGGTGGCAGCGGGCACCCGCATGTCACCACCCATGGCCGCGGATTTTGCTCTTGAAAAGTGCCCCATGTGCCACGCACCCTTTGGTCCCGAGCAGCGCTTTTGCTCGCAATGTGGAGCGCAGCGTCGATGAGCTCGAAATCGCAAAACACTGTCGCTGGCAAAGGTGCACTTGTTATTGCCATGATGTGCGTCTCCATCGGTCAATTTTTTTTTTTTACCTTGGTGACCAGATTGGCGGCCTATCTTCTGTTTTCTTCTGTTAATACGTTTCGTCTGCTTGTCTGCGCTTTCCCGTGCGGCGCGGTGGTGCATTTGTCTGTCTCTGTGTTGTCTTTCTCCGTGTTGCTTGCCTTTTCACTGCTCTCGATTTACAGCAGCTGTACAGCCTTTAGCGGATAGCGCTTGTGCGGCTACCTCGGCGTCGACTTTGATCCCGTGTCATTTGTGTTTCCTATTCCTGCGGGTGTCACGAGGCCGCGCCTCGCTCGTCTCCTCGGGAAGTGTTGTTGTGCTCAATTGTGAACGGCGCTTGCCTCGCTCCTCTCTGAACTATATGAATGCCTCTTAATCAAACCAATTTATCTCCGACTTGCCACGACTCTTTTCGTCACACTGGATCATCTTGGTCCCTCCCATGTTGGATACTCAGGTTTAACTGGTCACCCTCTTTTTTCCGCTCAAGGTCCACAAAAAGGGATGGCCAATTTTATGAAATAAGAAAAACAAAAAGGGAAAGAAATTCCATTGTCAATTAATTCTTTGGGGTGAACGATTATGACTGTTGCCGACCGTTGCTTGTACGCTCTTTCTCACACTCATCGTGGCCACGCGTTACAATGCACGGGCAGGCAAATTAGGCCGCTGTCTTGGTACAGGTACCTTGGGCGGTGGTATGGCATCGGGCATTACCGAGGACGCCACGATCGTAACCATCGACAATGTCGACGGCATCGAGGCCGTGTTGCCGCAGAATGGAGGTTGCGATGGTGCTACGAAAGCCGCCAAGGCAGTATACAACGTAGTGCTTGCTCTTGTCCAAGACAGTGGCACTCTTGGGCATCTCGGCCAAGGGCAAATTGATGGCACCGATGAAGTGGCCACGCACGGCGCAAGTGAATTCACCCGCTGTGCGGGCGTCCACGACTACCGTCGAGGGGTCGTTCTGCAGTTGCGTGGCGACTGCAGCATCTTTCATGACAAAGCGCTCGTAGCTCTGGGTGGGCAACCCCGAGTCCCGCCAAGCAGCCATGCCACCTTGGAGCACGCCCTTGACTTGGGCAGCGTAGCCGATGCGGCCGAGGCGCTGAAGAGCTTCAGTCTCTTTGCCCACGGCCGTGATCAGAAGAACTGTGATGCCTGGTTTGATGAGGGTACCAACCCAAATGGCAAAGTTTCCATCTTCATAGTTGAGCTTGACACCACCTCCCTCACCAAGTGGGATGTTCGTGGCTCCTTGAACGTGGCCAGACGCGAAAGCGGTGGCACCGCGAGTGTCGAGAACAATCACCTCGTCGTTGGCCTTTAGAGCTTCGTTGAAAGCAATGGGGTCGAGGTGAGGGATGGCAGCCACCTCCGCATCAAGGTGGGAGGCACCGGTGAGATTCGTCTTGACGGCATTGGGAAAGTACTGCGGGGCTTGATCCAGTCCATCTGTGTTGAAGGCCACAAAGTCTGCCTCCTTGGAAAACTGGAGAGCTGGGTTGGTGCGTTTCTCGTTGCCAATGGTCGAGGATAACTCTTGGCTAATGCCTTTCCCGCAAGGCGAGCCAGGCCCTGTGCAAGATACAACGGCAGGAGGGCAGACCAGCCAAGGGTGAGCTATAGAACTCTTGGTGTTGCAGCACAAGTTGGGGCATGACCACTCACCATGGGCGGGAAATACTTCGACGTCATCGCCCAGAGGCAAAAGCTTGTGGTGAAGGGAATGAAACATCTGCTGGGACAGCTTCTCGGGGGTGGCGCCTTCAATCAGAGCGCCCACCAGGTCGGGCCGGCCACAGCCACCCACAAAGAGCGTGTCGCCCGTAAAAGCCTAACAGGGCGCATAAAACCAGGTGTACGTTAGAGAAAGGACCGTGTACGGGGGATCATTAGGGGCCAGGGGCCAGGGAGGTAAGAAACCGCGGGGCGGGCGTGAAGCACAAGGATGACAACTCGCATGCTCCTCACCTTGAGGGGCTTGTTGCTCGTGTTGTCATAAAGAACCCAAGTCACGCAACCAAAGGTGTGGCCGGGGGTCTCCAGGGCGCGAATGCTGTATCGGGAGGAGAGAGCCAGGCAATCCCCATCCTGTGGGCAAGGCAAGCATGCCAGAGGCCAATTGTAGCATTTGAGCGATCCCGAGAGCTGGCCATTTGTGTGCGCGCAAGCCGGGAGCAAAGGCAACGAACCATGGCACTATAGTGGGGGAATTTGGCGCCGGCGTTGCGACCGATCATGATGGGACAGCCATATTGGTTGAGAAGCTCCATGTGCCCGGAGACGAAATCAGCATGCAGATGCGTTTCGAGAATGCCTTTGAGCGTGAGTTTCTGATCGGCCAAGGCCTTGACATAACTGAAGGCAGAAGCGACAAGATCCAGGCGCGGGTGGTGTGTGAGATACCAAAACAAATAGTGGTTGGTTGTGGAGCGGCTCAGGAAGGCTCAGGAGAGCGACGCAGGGGCAGGCCTGACATTTCAATATCGCGGCGTGGATCGATGAGAAAGGCTTGTCCCTCATGAGCAACCAGATAGCTGGCTTGTGCCAGACATTCGAGGTAGTAGGTATCGACCCGCAAGCCGTCCTCGGTCACCCTAAAGTTGATTGGTCGTCAAGGGACAGGCCGTGGCCCGGCCGGTAAAAATAGCCGGATGTGGCCGGAGAAAGGAGCGTCAAACGAGTCGGTGAGGAGGTGGCTTGTCTGCTGGAGGCAAGGAGTCAGCAGGGGCGAGGAGAGTCGCGGCCCACGACGCTTGGCTTACGTTGACTTGGTCGGATCCATGTTGATGGAGTCTTGTTGGAGATACAGCAGTGACGAAGAAGACAGGCAAGGCAGGGCAGGACGGGGTCGAGCTTAACAACACCAAATGTTTCGTGACTGCCAAAAGACCGTGAGGAAGAGGAAAAATGCAGAGCTCTGGTGGGCGAACGGAGCACGGTCCAGGGTCCAGTGCGTAGGGCGCTGCTGGACCGGTCGCGACAACGTCCCCGAACAGTCTGTGCCCAGAGAGAGAGGTAGAGACAAAGGACAGCGTTTAGCAGAGAATGACGGGAAGGCTGTTGGGCGTGAGAGATGGAGACAGGTGAGAATCAAAAAGAAATGAATTCCCAATGTAAATGCTAGTAATTCAGAGGTGTGGTTAGAAGAACCACATGATCAGAGACGCTTTCTGAATCAGATGACAAGGCCAGAGAGAGAGCCATACAAGCAGACCCTATAGACGGACCAGGTTGTTGTCATGTGTGCGTGTAGAGATGAAGTCAGAATGACAACTGCAAATGGGCCGTAGGAACGGCCAAAAAAAACAGCAACCTGTTGTCAAAGACATGGGTATCAGCGTGTGAATGTGTGCCTGCCCTTCAGACCTCATTGATCATATTGACCCACCCTCCAGATCCCCGACCAGTCCAGCTCGCCGCTCGCCGTCCAGGAACTCATGAATCGGGTCGGCCCCGAACGCGATCAACCTGATAACACTTGGTAAAATCACGAAATGTCAGATAGTATTGTCAGCGTGCTGACATGGGTGAATGTCAGACGTTCCTGGGTGCTGTCTGTATGCAAACGACCGGGGTGGTAAAGATGCAGAGAATACTGAAGAAGATGCAGCATCGTAGCGTTTCAGTGTCTTAGTTGAAGCTAGCTACTCGAAAGAAGATGCAGTATTTTGGTGAGAAGATGTCGCGAGCAACGTAGCATTCCTTTGGCCAGCGTGACCCTGTGCGACGCAGGAAAAAAGAGTCCGCAGTTTCGGCTGGCGACGTCGTCGCCCGGCGATGCGGTCGGTTGTCTCGGTCACCCGTAGGAGATAAGGGCAGGATGCGACACGACGCGAGGGCGGGGAAATGTCGAGTCTATGCATGCTTGACCACCCGGTGGCCGGCTCGGATAGGGGACGCAACGAGCACTAGGTGTTGCTGGGCGGTACGTGGGTTGCCCCACCAACTTTTGCTGTACCGCCCGATACTGATGCACACGCAAAGCCCTCGGGTACATGCCTGTTGATACGCAACCAAGGTCAAGACGCAAACACATTTTGCAAAGCAACTCGTGTCCTGCTCGCCCCAGGTTACCCAGTTCATCATTTTCTTTTCCTTTTTCCCAGCGCCCCTTCCCTCTGCCACATCGCCGGTGGATCCTCACGGAAAAAAAAAAAAAAAAAGAACTCGACTCTCGCGTTGACTCGGGAGCTATCAAGTGCCCCTTGCCTTCTCCTTGAGGATTGATCAAGCCCACACAGACCGCCTGAATGAAAGTACTGGCAGTCGCCCTGGCCCTCCTGGCCCTGCTGGCTCTCAGCCTTGCCGACGTGGACCTTGACCAATGGCAATACGACGAGCCCGCCTGCCGCCGCGTACGCACCTTGTCTCCCTCGATCTCTGGTTTAATCTAGTCCACGCGTCTTTCACTTGCTGCTCGCAAAGTTCTCACACACCACGTTGTCCATGTTTAAAAACTTTAATTGCCTCCAGGCTTGCCGCACGGCATTCAAGAACGGCGAGCTCACTCGCCTCGACCGCGACTTGTGCAAGGCCAAGTGTGAGGTCAAGTCATGCCGCAAAAACTTTTGCACCACTCTTTCTGCCAAGCCTCAGCGCCTGGCCTGCCGCGAGGGCTGCAACAACGGCTACAAGCTTGCCAAAATTGGATACACCTGCGAGGCCGAGTGCAAGACCGTCTTCAGCGATGTCGATGAGCTCGTCACCTGCCGTCAAACCTGCGAGCAGAACAAGGTGGACGCTCGCTTTCCAGAGCTCAACGATGAGTCGGAGCAAGTGATGGACAACGTCTACTGAGCATCTTTGCCCTGTCTGCGGCCCAGGCAAAATGGGAGGAAGCACCTCATACTTGGCAACGCCATGACCAACTCAGTCTTTGACCAGTTGGCGAGTTGAGGGCAGCCATCCCACACTGTTGGGTTTTCTCTTTCTTTCCTTTATGTTTGTTGTACTGTTTGATGATGCCTGGGCTATTGGGTGCTATCTATCCCACTCGTTGTGTCCACCCAGCCCTTTCCCTCTCCCTATGATGTTGTCAGTCTTTGCTTTGTTGTTGAGCAGTACGTCGCCACACAGGCGAGTGTCCTCAACCCCGCCCCAGTCCCTTGAATGTATCGCCCGAGCCTACACAACCTGTCGTGGCTCTTTGTCCTGAAAATCAAACGCAGAAAAGTTGAAGAAGACGCACGCATGCCAGTACATTCACACACCACAACACAAGCCTGCCCTTGGGTAACATTTCCATGCGTATGTGATGATGACGGGAACAACCACATTGGTATTGGGGAACCTTCACTTTTAAAGGCAAAGCACCAGCCCGAGGAGGAACCGAGACAGGGCAACAAGAACAGGCCGGTCGTATGCCAGCTTTGGGGTTTAAAGAGCGTACATGACCATGGACCGCAAAAGCTGGGCGCCTTGCGCACAGAGGTGTCTGCACACGGCCACGTGCAAAGACAGGCAGCTGTTTACATGCGGAAAACGCCAAATTTGGTTGGCTCGGGTGGCGCATTGAGGGCGGCACTGAGGCTCAGGGCCAGCACGCGACGCGTGTCAGCTGGGTCAATCACACCATCGTCCCATAACCTAGAACACATGTCAAGACCAGTTGTGAGAGCTGCGGTGAGCCAAGGGAGGGAACTGGCGTTGCGGAAGCATCTCAAAACTGACCTGGCACTGGCATACAGCGGGTGGCCTTCTTGCTCGTATTTGCTCTCAATGGGTGCCTTCAGTTGGCGTGCATCCTCCTCACTCAGCTGAAAAGTTGGACCAAAGTAAGTCATGAGCTGCCCAGTGGCCGTGTGGCGTGCCCCCGCTCCCCCCCCCCCCCCCCCCAAAAAAAAAAAAACACCGGTACGCGGCGCGGCGCGGCCAACAAACACACCGTTTCACCCTTGCGTTCAAGCTGCGATTGCTTGATGGTGGCCATGACGTTGGCCGCCTGCTCGCCGCCCATGACGGAGATGCGGGCGTTGGGCCACATCCACATGAAGCTATGGCAACGATCCGTCGCATGAGCATGAGGTTGTTGGGGAGCAAAAAGATCTGCCTCGGCCCTTGAGTAGGCCCACCGCCCAGAAGTGGTTCAGGTAAGGCAAACTCACCGAGGCGAATAGGCACGGCCACACATGCCGTAATTGCCGGCCCCGAAGCTGCCGCCAATCACAACGGTCAACTTGGGCACCTGGGTTTGCGCATGGTTGCCAAAACAAACGATGAGGCAAGCCAGTTGACTGCTCAACCAACGTGGGCAGGGCCGGTGGCACGTTTTGATGCATTGATCGAATGCTCCCACCTTGGAGCAGGCCACTGCCGTGACAAGCTTGGCGCCGTTCTTGGCAATGCCCTCACTCTCATACTTGCTGCCCACCATAAAACCTAGCCAAGGTCAGGATGAGCACAAGAGCAATAGCAGCAGAGCACGCACCCTCGCACGTGAGAGCACAGACCAGTGATGTTCTGCAAAAAAATGAGTGGAATGTTGCGCTGATTGCACAGCTGAATAAAGTGGGCACCCTTGAGAGCCGACTCGGAGAAGAGCACGCCGTTGTTGGCCACAATGCCCACCGGCATGCCATCAATGTGAGCGAAACCTGAGAGAGCGCACCCCCCAAGCGCAAAGAACAGCATCAGAGACTTGCGAGTGCACCAAGCATGGCTCTCGACTCAAACATGGGATGCTTGCACGTTGTAATTTGAAAAAGGAGGTGCAAGGCGAAGCCTCGCATGCGCCGCGAAAAAGAAACATACCGCAAACCAACGTGGTACCATAGCGGGCCTTAAACTCGGAAAAGCGACTGCCATCGACGATGCATGCAATGACATCGCGCACCTACATCGAGCACCAACCGCCGATGAGAGTTGCTGCGGGAAATCACGTGCGAAACCAGGTTTTGAGCACATTGATGCGGAGTCCGGGAACGCAGAACGCACTTCAAAGGTCTTCTTGAGATTGGTACCCACGATACCGTACAGCGTCTGCGCATCGTACAGCGGCTCGGCGCTCTCGCGCATTTCCAGCTAGGTGGGGATGGGACACCGGAGAACGTGTAGAGTGAGATAAAAGAATGAGCGCATGGACTTACACCTGCGAGGCCGAACCTGCTCGGGCTTGGGTCGGTTCAGTTGGTTGACGCAAGAGCGCATGATGTTGAGCGCATGAATGTCATCGACAGCAAAATGATCGGCCACACCCGACACACGGGTGTGCAAGTCGGCGCCGCCCAAGTCTTCAGCCGACACCTCTTCGCCCGTGGCGGCCTTGACCAAAGGTGGGCCACCCAGGAAGATGGTGCCCTGCTCCTTGACAATAATGCTCTCGTCTGCCATGGCGGGCACGTAGGCGCCACCAGCAGTGCACGAGCCCATCACGGCCGCAATCTTATGTTTCGGCAGTGCGGTCGCGGTCGGCCCAAAACGGCAGGTGAGGAGAAGGGCCAGCCAGCGCGGATATCGAATCAACTACGGCAGGGACGTGCACAAACGGCGTCCAGCAAAGCACGTGACAGGTTTGTACCTGAGGAATGTTTTGTGCGCTCATGTTGGCCTGGTTATAAAAGATGCGTCCAAAGTGATCGCGGTCCGGGAACACCTCATCCTGTCGGGGCAGGTTGGCACCACCGCTGTCCACTGCAAGCATGGCCGGGAAAAGTAGTTGAAACGGAAGGATTGAAACCCATGAGGTCAGTGTGCTCGAGGTGGTCTGGAATCGCCAGCAAAAGAGCCAAAGGTCAACTCTTACCAAGGTAGAGGCAAGGCAAGTGGTTTTGCATGGCAATTTCCTGGGCACGGAGATGCTTCTTCACCGTCAAGGGATAGTAGGATCCACCCTTGACAGTGGCATCGTTGGCCACGATCATGCATTCACGCCTGCATGGGCATCAGTATTGGTCGAAACCAAGAAGGACACCACCAATGAGAAGTGTTTGGTGACCAACACCGTATCTTGTCAGCATGGTTGAGAACAAAATGGCGTACCCAGCGACGCGACCAATACCAGCGACAACACCGGCAGCTGGCACACTCTCGGGCTGACCCTTGGGGTCCTGGTAGACGTTGTGCGCAGCAAACTGGCCAATCTCCAAAAAGGGTGAGCTGGCCAGAATGGAGCACGAGCGGCATGATGAGTGTATGGATGCCGATATGGCTACTCTTACTAGGCTGGAGAGACTTGAGGAATCAGAAAAAGTCAACGGAAAGCATACAGTGGCCACCGGCATGGGGCTTACCCGGCATCCAGCAAGGCTGCAATGCGCTCGCGGGCCACGAGCTTGCCCTTGTCCTTGTGGCGCTTGATACTATCAGGACCACCACCCTGGTGGACCTTGGCTGCCAAATCACGGATGGATGCGGCCTCACCGCGCAGCGCTGTATCGTTTTCCTATACCCCACAATGCGTGCGCGCGACTCGACCTGATCAGCGCCAGCCAAGCGGCAAGAGGTCGAAGAGCAAGAGTGCGAACCGACCTGAAACTGCTCAGAATGCACGTCCGAGACAAGCTTCAGGGTGGTCATTTCATGCACATGGCTTGAAGCCAAGCGAACGACCACCATCGGCGCGCTATAGCAATTGCATTCGGTGATGAGCAGAGCGCGATAGCGCTGGGGTCGACAAGATGCAGACACAAACGCCCCAGCAGCCCAGCCCCATGTGCCACATTTTGGTCAGCGCATCTCTCTCTCTCTCTCTCTCTCTGACGCCTTTCATTCCGCAATCCTTTTGCAATCTTGCTCGAGGTTTATAACAGTGCTGCCACGGCCCCAGGGTGGTAGAGCACGTACCTGCGAGCTTGGTTCATGGCCATGCTGGTAGCAGCCGCGGCCGGAGTCGCCGCCACGCGGCGCATCAGCTGCATCATGGTGCCCGGCGCCGCCATTTCTCAAAAATCCCAAACTGCTGTTTTGTTTTAAAAAAAAAAGGAGATGGAGAGAAGGTGATGAGCTGGGTCGAGTTAGCAGAGAAGAGAGAAGCTAATGAAGAGAAGACAAGGCAGAAGAAAAGGTATTTTCAGAGAAGTCGACGCAAAGCGACGATGAACCAGAGATATGCTCGAAGCAAACAGCTCAAGGCGGAAACTCAAAGGCAAGCAACGAGAAGGTGTGGTCTTTGAAGGTGTAACAGTTGTCACACTTTTGACATCGGATGACGCAATTTTACAAGCTCATGATGACCTCTGTAAAGTAAAAAGCCAACATTGTCAGCTGAAGACGAATCACGTGTAACGCAAGGCGTAAATTTCTGGTATCTTCACTGCGTTCGCCATTTGCACTCGATCTTGACTTGAGACACCGGCACACACGGCAGCGGCGGTCGTGGCGGTAGTGGCGGTAGCGGCGGCAGAGGCGGTAACGAGACGGGCACTGGGGTGGTGGAAAGGCTGAATAGAAACAACCAACCATGTCAGAGGCCATGGATACGAGTGGTGAAGCCGTGGTGAAGCGTGAAGTCACCGATGACGCCGACGTGGCTGACCAGCCGTATGTCACCCATGCATGTCGTGAGCCGGCCCACCACACTTCCCCTGCTTCTGTGCCAGGAGCTGACCCGTCTTTCTGCACCGGTCTTAGAACAAACACAGCAAACCTCATGAAGGGGGACGGGGACGTGATTGAGGACGACGACGATGATCCCGTTATCGCTGAGGTTTGTCGCTGACCCCCAGGCTGCGCACGCATGCTGCTCTGTCCTCGGTTCACGCCCTCGCTCCTCCTCGTCTTAGCTCAACGTTTTTGTTTCAACGGCCCTGCAAGAACAACTCTACCTGGTACAGCTTTGTGCCAACGTTCCTTCTTCTCTTCTCCCGTGTCGCCTCACTTCTCTCCATCACCAGCGTCGCCTTGTTTCTGACCCCGGTCCCTTGGCTCGTTTTGCGCACTGTTTTCTCAGTATCAATATCCCATGCGCTCAGCGCTGCGCCCCTTTGTCAGCGGCGATGGCAATTTGGTGCGTGCGCTGCCAGTCATGTTGCTGCAATTGTTTCCTTGTGCGTGGTCTCACTTGCCTCGTCATGGTGGACCTCTATGTTGCGGGCACATGCAGGAATCCCGGTTCCGACCCAAGGCCCAGGCTGTTGAGCTGAAGGTTCCCATTGAACCCGACAATAACCCACACTACGACTTTCCAAAGGGGTATGTTGAATCCCTCTATGCTTAATACATCCCGTGTTATGCTCGGCATCCTTTCACCTCCCTGGTGCAATCGATCACCTGTTTAAACCATTCTGCTGAGCAGCGAAGAGCTGGCGGACTTGGCCAATGAACCCTACCCGCAAGCCAAGTCCGACCCTGGTGGGTGGTTGGCCGCACCTCGTTGGCCCTGCACCCTTCTCATCCAAATTGTCGCCATTTTTCCCATTTCCCTCACCTCGTGTCTTGTGTTTTTGTTCATTTGTTTGGTGGCCTCGCGGTGAAATCAAGAGGGCTCAAACGACGAAGGCAACACCAAGACCTTTCCCAGTGGACTCATGGACCATTTACTGATGACCTCCACTTGCACACCCCAAGCCTCGCCGTACGCAGCTGCTCTTATTCACCGTGGTGAGGTGCACGTGGCCCCTCTGCGAAACGTCTTCCAATTACGCCCCAACCTTCATCATTTGGACGAGGCCGAGGCTCGTCAAAAGGCCGCCAAGGCGGCTGGCAACGAAGAGGAAGCGGCAGATGGCCCAGCTGAAAGCGATTCTCGTGTTCGAGTATGTAGTCACACCCCACCACAGTGTCAGACGTCTCCCTTTCCGCTTCAAGCTCTGACCGGCCACCGCTTTCGCTCTGTCCGACCGTGTGATGTCTGCATCACATCTAGGTCAAAGTCAAGCGCGTGGAGACGGCTCGCGCAGCTGCCGCTCGCAAAAAGTCCTATGCCCACATGCGCCAACAGATCGACGAAGAAACTTGGGTGCCATTGCAGTATCGCCACAGCTCGGTTCGCTTGCTCTACCACCATCTTGCTGCTTTTTGCTGTTGTTGTTGCTGTTGTTTAGTTTGAGAAGGATCACCGCGCACCTTCGTAACTCGAGTAATTTCGACTGTGCACAAACTCGACGTCTTAGACACGTGTGGCCATGGAGCAACGGGAGCTTTTGCGTAGCACTGCAGCCATGCCCATTCCCTTGGAGATGACACGTATGAACAGCCCGGACTAATTTCAACACATCTTGCTTGCCTCACAACTTGTACGTTGTCTGCAACATGCTTTGCTCTAGCCGAGGAATATGTGAATCGCCTCAACGCTCAAGCATCCGACAGTCGGTTCGTCGTCCTCTCCATTCTTTTTCTCGTGTTTTCCTCTTTCCCCCACATGCACTCCAACCCTTCCTCTCCCTCTCTCTCTTATTTGCGCAGCCTGACCCGATCACACGATGCGCTGTCCCGATTCGATCCACAGGCAACAAACAACCCGAAAGACCCCCTCAATCAAGGAGGTCGGTTCTCCTTTACATCTCAAGCTGAAATGGGTCATTGACATCATGCCTTCTCACTTTTCTACACCCCGTCTGGAGTAGAGCACACGCCTGATGACACTGGCGGACATGAAGAAGCTACCTCTGAAGGACATGCTGCGCCACTTTTTGCGACAGGGTGGGTTGCGTTGTTGGCACACGATGAACCAGAGGGTGCCGGCCAGAACCTCATTCTGCTGGTGACATACACCGCGCGCTGTGGGTTCTGCCTGTGCGTGCCACAGCCGAGGCTCTCCGCTACTCGGACATTTGCAAGCATGTGGCTCCTGGCGAGCATTACCAACTCAAGCGTCTGTTGCCATCCATGGCGCTTTTGATCAATGGTGTCTGGGTGGCACGTAGGTGAGTCCCTCAATCCTACCGCCCTCAACTTTGCCTGGGCGGACCTAAATTGCTCCATTTTGAAATTGCCGTGTTTTCATTTTGGTTCCTGCCTGCCTTTTGCCCCGCTCCCTCTTGTAGCCCCCTTGTGCACCCTGATGCGTGCAATAGTTTTTACACGGGTGCGCCCGCTGAGCGGATGCAGGCTGCGCGAGACTATGCTGTAAGACACTGTCCTGTCAGCTATCCTAGAAAGCGTCGAAAAATTGAGCAGGCGATTCACCCTTGCTCTTTCGCTAGTTGTGGCGCTTTGCGTATGGCAAAGTTGTGACCAAGGCCCAAGTCATGAAGTACGGCAAGTTGCGTGAACCCGATGCTGGCCAGGTACTCGAGAATGTAAGTTCCTTTCCTCTGTTGTCTCTGCAGTGTCTTCCATTGCATCCAGTACAGCGTCCCCATGCAGCAGTTTGCCTCGCGGCGGCGTGTTCATGTGTCTGCGTGCGTGCATCAGCTTACCAAGCAAGACTCGTCCCGACTGCACCACCTCAAGGTCCGCTGGCAATCCCCGCATACGTCCATCCCCGATGACCGTAATTCTTCCTCTTTCGCAAATTCCTTACGCACTCTTGAATGACTTTGGCGTTACAACTGGATAGATTCCAGAAGATGCAAGCTTTCAAAGCAGCCATCCCGACCTGGTGAAGAAGATGCAACCCATCTTCATCGAGTTTCAGCGAGAGTACGTGTTGCACCGCCTTTCGTTTTCCTCCTTTCACTGGCAGAGAAGGGCAGTCGTTGGGTCTCACGAGTATCTACGCGGGCCGTTTCAACCTTTTAGCCTGTATGAGCGGCTGGACATTGATGAAGAGCACCGCAAGGAAACCGCGCAGCGATAGACTGAACACAACATCGCGTGACCACAATCTGCGGGGTGTAATGCAGCATCGTCCGACTGAATGCAACACTGTCCAATTTATGCCAAAGCCTGGCGTGCAATCCTCTGTCAGGTCTGTCCCCACATCACACATACTACGGCACAACGCCAAAATGCCAGAGGAACACAAGTCACGGAAAAAAAAAAAAAAAAACAGGCAGGACGCCTGTAGCCCGAGCCAGCCGTGGCCACAGAAAAAGTAAAGACAGACGGTATAAGATGGTCAAATAAGCCTGTCGCGACTAGCGACTTATAAAGCAAAAGTCAAAAAGGCAGAAGAAATTACAGGAGAAACAAAACGCCGCTCTGCGGCAAAACCCAAGCAAATAGAGGGAGACACTTGAAAAGAGATCCTGCCACCGCACTGCTTTGGTTTTTGAAAACAATGGTCGGTACGCCCAGAAGATGTGCGGTGCGATACCGAGAAGAACACCGTTGCGGCTACTAAAGAACTGGCTCCGCCTCAAGAGCGAGCGAGCCAAGGATGGCGAAGGGCCTGCTTTGCCGTGAGCCGCTTAGCTGGATCAACCACCAAGAGCTTGCTGATAAAGTCGCGGGCCGTAGTGGAGATCTTGTTCCAGTAGGGCAGAGGGAAGGAGAAGCTGCCCGCTCGAATGCGGTCAAAGAGTTCCTTCTGATCCTTTTTAGAGCTAGCAAAAGGCGGAAAGCCACAAAGCAAGATGTAGCTGATGACACCAATGGCCCAAAGATCGACCTCGAGATTGTAACCACCGCCGTTTTCATCGATGATCTCAGGTGCCACATAGGTCGGCGTGCCACACACGGCAAAGAGCTGTTCGCGCACCACCATGGATAAACCAAAATCTGCGAGCTTGAGACGCAATGGGCCCCCTTTGTCGCGCGTCAATAACACGTTTTCCGGTTTCCTGCAAAACATTCGAAATGAGTCGGCATTCGGGTCTGGAGCGGAAGGATGACAGCCAATCGACACCAGAACATACAGATCGCGGTGAATAATGTTGTGGTCGTGCATATACTTGAGGGCTTGCAACATGTCAATAACCATGGGTTTGGCATCGGCTTCGTTAAACTTGCTGTGGCGTACGATGTGATCAAACAAGTCACCATCCTTCATCAGCTCCATAACCAGAAAGATTTTGCCTAGACGTGGATATCCGTGAGCATTACCGGTGAACATCACACTGAAAGAAAACAGCGATGGTCAGCAAGATGCTGGGGCTCCACACACTGACTGAAACCTACCTTTGGTCTCAAATACGTCGAAAAGACGAACGCAGCCAGGGTGCTTCATGGTGCGCATCGTCTTGATCTACGTGATTCGGCGACACAGCGCAATGCCATGGCAACAAGCAAGACGACACAGGAGTCAGGACGTGAAGGAAATGAGAGGTTGCCACTATCTTTCTCGACCGACTAGAAAGTTGATGGGACATACTTCGTGCATGATCATGCGTTCCTCGCGTTTGCCGGGCACGTTCCGCTTGTCAATAACCTTTACGGCGTACATTTGTCCGGTGGCGCGGTGGCGACAACGCAGCACGTCGGCAAAGTTTCCGTCGCCGAGCTTTTCCATCAGCTCAATGTGTTCTCGTACAAAGAGTTCCTTGACGATACCATAAAAAGAGAGCTTACTGTCTGGTCGCGGGCCCAGGGCTGCCACAGCCTCGGGCGGCACAAGACCCACACCATCGCCGACAAGCGCCGACTCAATCTCTGTCTCGCTGCGCTTGAGTTGTTGTGTGCGTCCAATGGTGGCTTCCAAGCCTGGCTGCTCCCGATCTTCGGCGCGCGTGACGGGGCGCTCCAGTTCAGCAGCAGTTTCAGGCGTCATGTCCGGTACGCTTGGGCTGTCCGTGTTCTTGCTTGCTTTGGTAGATTTGGGAGAAGCGTTGGATGAGGACGCAGCCGGCGACGCTGAAGGCGCGGAGCTGTTGGACTGCCGCGGTGACTTGGCAGGGGTCGGCGCTGCTTTGCTCGAGTTGTGGTGATGGACGTTGCTGGGTTTGGCCCGAGGCACACCAGCCTTGCGCACCCCTCCTACTTTGTTGGGGGCTTTTAATCGACTGGCGCCTGCCTTGATGCCCGAAGATTTGACTGAAGAATCAAGAGTGGCTTTTGGTGCGTCCTGGGTCGCATTGGCAGCAGCAGCAGCAGCAGCAGCAGCAGCAGCAGCAGCAGCAGCAGCAGCAGCAGGAAGCGGAGGAGAAGGGGGCGGAACGCTGGTTGCCAAGTCACCAGTTTGATTTGAAATATTGGTCAAGTCGGGCGAATTGGATGGAGGTGGCGATGCTGACATTTGATCGGCCAGTGGCGACTGGCGCGTCGCCTGTTCAAGATCCTCTCCCGATGAAGCGTCCTCTTCTGCGACGGTGTTGGGTATGTCCATGGCGGGGGCAGCTGATTGCTTGGAGGACACATGGCTTGTAGGCATGGGCGAGTCTGCTTTGGATGGCCGTGAGGAAGGGACGTGCAGAGCCTCGGGCGTGGTGCCAACATTTGGATCGGCCGTCAGCGCCTGCTCTGCATCCTCCCCCACGTGGTCTGTTGCTTCGTCGTCCTCGTCTGGTTGACGGTGCTTCAGCTTCTCTTCAAATGCGGCCTGCTGTCGCTTGCGCTCGGCATCGTGCTGCTCTTGTAGATTTTGTTCCATGGCTTCGGCATGTTCAAGAAGATGGTGCTGTTGCTGGGAGCGTTGGGCCAATTTGGCCTTGGCCTTTTGTCGTTGCCGCTGACGCTCCAGATCAGCCTTTCGGTCGAGCTCGTCAGCTTGCGACACCAAGTAATCCACCTGTTGGTTGGCCCGCGTGGCATGTCCGGTGGCATCGGGTGCCTCAACAGATCCATCTGATAGAACATTGGGGTAAGACGAGGCCAACATGCACGACTAGAAGGGCCGGGAAGCCAAGAGTCGGGCGAAGCATTGCAGTCACAAACCTTGCACAAACTCTGAAGTCGAGGGCAGTTCAACGTCACTCTCCTCGGCTGGGGGCATGGCCTTGTCTGTTGGGTCAGGACTGGACTCGGAGAGAGTGTCGTCCGCTTGTGCCGCCGCCTTGGCGACGGTCGGCAAGGGTGTATCATCATGGCTCGGCTGCGGTAGGGTGGGGCTTGCAGCGGATGAAGGGTCCTGCATTTTCGGCTGCTCGGGCTGCTCGGGCTTTTCGAGGTTCCTTTGTTCGTCTTGACTCTCTTGCGGCTGGGCTTGAAACGGCGTGTGCCGTGCAGTTATAGCTGCATCTTGTTCTTGACCCGGCTTGGGCGGTCGCTGCCGTTTTTGTTGAGGGGGATGTGGTAGGCGTTGGTGGTCCTGCGATTGATGAAGATCAGGCGGAGCGGATCGAGCGGAAACGAGATCGACGCCCGAGTCAGCCTGGGCGGAAGTCTTTGTACCAAGGGGGGGCACAGGCGGTGTGCCATTGAGGTTTTTGGAACCAGGAGACACCGGATATCGGTTGGCTTCTGTCACAGCCCCAGGATCTGAGGCCCTTGGCGCAGCTTCGGCGGTTGCAGCTGCGCCGGTATCTGGCGCGGCAGCTGGCGGAGCATGGGGTAAGACGTGGTGTGTGGCGTATTCTTCCAGCCAGGCGCGATTAATCTTCTCTGGACCAACGGCGACAATATGGGTCTGTTCGTACAACTCGTCTGGGTCACGAAGCTTGTGGCCTTGCAGGGTGAAGAGAGCCCGCACCCCACCGACGATGGCCAGTTGGCGGGTGAGTGAGTCACAAACTTGTTGAATGCTGCTGGCCGTCTTGAACGAGATGACGTAACGCCGCGGCTTATCGGTGGGCGTGGCATTGTGGCGGTGCACCAAGACAATATTGGCCTGCGGGGCTTGACGCAAGGGCTGGAGGCGGAGCGCGCCGCGTGCTTGGCGCATGCCCTGTAGCACGGGGTCGGATGTGGGCCGACGGCGAGGACGCCGGCGCAGCGCGTCAACACGTTGTGAGCGATGCCATTTGGGAGTGGCCACGCGAGTGTAGTCAATTGTGCGATCGACGCGCTCTTTGCCCGCGCAGACGTAATGGCCACTGCGTTGAATGTCATTGAGGTCCTGGATAAAGGCGTTGCGATCAAGATCAAAGATGCGTTCGACCGAGTTTGGGCATTGTAAAAGGTTGGTGAGGGCCGTCTTGAGGGCGCCGAGATGGGGGTATTTGCGTTCGGAAATGACAATTTGACGTCCGCGGCTGTGAGATTCACCGTTGCGATAAAACACGGCACGGCGCGCCGTTCCCAAGTCCTGAACCGCCATGATGTTCAATGAACAAGCGATGTTTTTCCCTGCAATGACGGGGCATCACAGTTGCGCAAATGGACGAGAGAAACGTGAGGCCGGTCACACCTGAGAGGGGGCGTGAGCCGGACGTGTCCGGCAAAGCAATTCACAAAAGTCACCCTTGGGTAGGAAGGCAACCGTCAAGGGAGAGGGAAAAGAGGAGAGGGAAAAGAGGAGAATCACCGACCTCACGGTGAATAACGATGAGCCGCCGCTCAAGCGCGGGCTGCGCTGCCCGATGGCCTCGAACGCACGCACGTACGCACGCACGCACGCACGGCCAGGAGGACCCCTGACAGGTAATGGTCCAACCAATAAACAATGACACCGATCCAAGTGCATTTGCAGCTGGGCGCCTGCCTGCCCTTGGACCGCCCCCCGGGAGGTGTGCACGCCTTTTACTGAGATCTTGAGGCCCTGAGGTCTTGAGGTCTTGAGGCGCAAGACAAGCGGTTGAGAGCCGTTTGGTCACCGCCGTCGTTGTTGTTTTGGCGCGCAGCGTGTGTGTGTGTGTGGATGTGTGTGTGTGTGTCTTCTCTTGTGCTCTAATTCACTCTCTCTCTCTCTCTTGCTCTCTTTCTCTCTCTCCTTTCTCTCTTCTCTTTTGCTCTCTCTCTCTCTTTCTCTCTCTCTTTCTCTTTCTCTTTCTCTCTCTAACTCCTTTTGTCTTTTGTTGCTGAAGGCCAAACAAACAAAAGAAGTTGGTTTTCGTTTGGTGTTTGGTGTGTGTGACATTCTGGCTGTGTGCTGGTGTTGCTATGCGCAGTTTGTAAATTTCTTCTGACATTCGATGAGACAGGAAAAGTGTGACAAGCAGTGCACTGGTAATGAAACAAAGCAAACAGACATTGGAATCAGCTCGGCTCGTTTGAGGCAGGAAGGATCCCCGAACTGCTCAGGCCATGGCAAGGCGGTGTGAACCGACGTCGGGGATGGGGTGAGATGAATAGACTTAACATCCAAAAAGGTCAGACGAGAAAGAACAAGAGGAACAAGAAAACAAGGTCAAGCTGAGCTAGCACCAGGACACACCAGAGCTCTCATCTTTCTCCAAGGGATTACGATGAAGCATCGCAGGCGGCGGCCTGACGTGCCGAGAGATCGACGGCATAGGCGTAGAGTTCCATGTCAAGGGCATTCAAGCGACGCATCTCGGCAAACCACTCGGCATCCACATTTCGCTCGATCCACGTATCGACGGAGCCACCCAGCTTGTTCACGTGTGTGCCCGACTTGGCGGGCTCGGGAGCTGGCCAGTCAAAGTAGCACGAGCGCAGCTTGTTGCGAGTCTCCTTGTTCTCGAGAATAAACACCACCATCTTGTGCAAGATCTTCTTGGCCTCTTCGAGGTGGTCCCGCGTAATGGCGTCCAGGGGCATACGGAACACATCCTCCCCGAGCAAGCTGCGAATGTAAAAGTTGTTCATCACCGCTGTACCGTACCGCACATCATCAGTAATGTCCGTGCTAAAGGTTTCGAGCCGGAACTTGGCCAGTCCATCGCGCCGAAAGCCGGAATCAAAGCGAACGTGGGATATCAGGCGGCTCATGGGTTTGCGAAACTGTACGCTGGGCAAGATCTGCTCTGGGCAATCCAAAAGCTTGTGATTGAGAATGCTTTCCGTCTGGAAATAGGTCACCTCCTTGCCCATAAGCATCATCCGCCGCTCACACGACAGATCCATGTTGAAGAGACCACCCGGTCCGCGCCGCCGCACCACGCCGTCCCCGAGCCAGTTGCAGTTGGAGTTGCGCGACGTGAGCGTCTCCTGCGCCTTGGCATCGTTGCAAAAAGAGGTTCCACCGCACTTGTGCAAGTGATACATGTACACCACGCGACCCTTCCGGCTATGCGGCTTGACCTCCCCAGAATCCACCACCGCTGCCACCACAACACAACTCAACAACAGCCCCCACACAGCCCATCGTCCAACCGCCACGTTGACCCCCATCCTCCTCGACACCGGCAGCCTCAAAGAGGAGACGCCACACACACAAGACAAAATATTTTAAAGTGTGACCGTTGTCTCGCTTCATGTCTAGAATGTGTGATACAAGTCAGACTTTGGTGGAGCAATGGCTGCGAAAGCAGTGAAATGTCAGATCTGGGCTTTGGCTCAACAAACTGTCGAGGTCAAGGAAGAAGACATGCACCTCGGGCGTCGTCACGGAGTCGATTGAGGGGGGCAAACGCAAACGGCACAAGGACTTTGGACTGGCGATACGCAGGTTCTGTTTCACGCGGGCCAAGGCCAAAGCACACCCACCATGAAGAAAACGCGCTCACCAATAATCAAAACTAATACATCACAAACAGAGAAAAAGCATTCCCGGGAGCCCCAGCGTGGCCGAGAACGGTTCATGAACAACCGCACAGCCCATCAAGCGCCGGCCAGCAGTTGCCTTTTCGTCTCAATGATACACCGTGACCTTTTCCACTCATCTTCAACATTTTCTTCTTCTTCTTCCTCTGCCCTCTCTCCTCTTCTATCCTCCACCAGGCTCTTGAAGACGCGTGATGACGCTTCAGACTTGCGACTTGAGCTGAGCACGCTCGGCGCGCTCGCGCTCCATCTCTTTGCGCAGATGCTCCTTCTTGGCGGCGTCCAAACCCAGACGTGCACCAGTCATGGCCACTGCCCCGAGAAAGAAGATGGCGGCCCTAAAACAACATGGGACAAGCCAAGGTTGAAAAATGAATGTGACGTGACCATGGTTGGTATCACATACGACCAAGCGGGCACTCGGTCATCAAGCTTTGGGAACGGCTGGCATACCAGGCATATTTGATCTTGGTGGGGCTGGTGAAGGATTTGGACGGGACGCCGCTCAGCCGCGAGGAGTCAATGATGCTGCGCATGGCCGTGGATTACACGTGCAAAAGTCGCCAAGGCCCTGATATCCTTTCGAGCTCTCGCCGACCTGTTTTTCCGCTGCTATCACCGAGCCCCTATTACTCCGCCGCTGCCACTGCAGTCTGACTCGGGCACCAACGACTCAGACCTCGCTCGGGTTGCTGCTGCTGCGCCTGGTGCTCATTGAAACCCCTCACGCAATCCAAATGAAAGGGCATTGCGTTCGCCTCGCCACATCGAGGACACGGATGTCAGAATGTCAGAATGTCAGACTTTTCAGGCTTTTCGAACGTCACCGTGACGGCGACTTCCAGGCGCTTCACCCGCTGGTTACCTGTGCTCTATTTCCTTTTAAGCAGAACACACACACACACACACACACACACACACACACACACACACACACACACACACACACACACACACACACACACACCGACGATTTCATTTTCATTTTTTTGAATTCTCATCCGCATCGACGTGCTCGACGATCCTGTCTGCGGTCATTCCTTTGCTGTTGATCGATCAAGAGGTTCAAGTGGTTGGCTGCGCGCAGAGCTACTAGTGGCAGTCCTCTGAAGCATTGATGTTGGCAGGTTTTGCCGAGGGTCAAGTCGCTTCCGAGCGACAGAACAGAGTCGAAGCCATTCACCAGGCCCAGCTCATCATGGCGAGTTCGCGGCCTGTGCCACGTCAGACGACGACACCGTCAGATGAGGCGGCGGCGGCCATGGTGCAGGACTTTGACTTTTTATCTCTGGGCCAGCATTGTGCTGTTGCTGGCTGCCACCAGCTGGACCTTCTGCCCTGCACTTGCCGCAAGTGCGGTCTCATAACCTGTAGTGACCACTTCCAGACGCATGCTTGCGCGACACCCCCCGTTTCGGTGCGTACTTTTCGCCTTGCTTGGTGGGGGACCTGAACAACAACGGCTCGACAGCCAGCCCTTGTCTCCGAGTTTCCTTTGTTTGTGCCTCTTCGGCTAACGCTGGTGTTGCCACCTTGTCTGTAGCGTACTTTGCGGCCCTGCCCCAAGTGCGAGAAGCTCTTGGCTCTGCCCCACGGCGTCTCGCCCGAGGAAATTCTGGCGCAACACATTCGCTCTGGCTGTCAACAACATGTAGCCATTACTGATGCCCAGGCCCGCCGCAAGCGGCGCTGTCCTGCCGCACATTGCCGCCGCAAAGTTTTACCAGGGACTCCGTGTGCCGATTGTCGGACGCAGTACTGCGCAGCGCACCGCTTCCCGGAGGACCATGCTTGCCGCGATCGACGCCGTCAGATGACGCTGGCAGGCCTCGCTTCCCGGCATGCAACACCCATTGCAGCGCATTAGCCCTCTTTTGCCAAACAGGCAGGCACTGGCTGTGGCCAAAATTCCGCCGTGCGGTTCTTCCGGGCACTCCACCTTCTTTTATTCCCATATGCACGCTGGCTGTCACCAGGTCGCACTCTGCACTGCATGTTCTGAATCTAATCGTCCAGATCTTACAATCAAGTGTGTCGGGGAAGAAAACCTAATGAAATTGACAATTGGAAACCATGACGTCTGAATCACATGTAAAGCGGTCGTCTTGCGCGGCATCTTCTGAAGTGACGTCTAGAGTGCGAGCACACGCTTAGATCAAAGCCAGCTCCTCCTTGCAGCAGATGCCCTCAGCCTCGAGCTGCTGGATCAGGGGCTCGTAGATGTCCGGGGTCAAGGGAGCAAAGACGCCCTTCTTGGTGATCTTGCCGTCGAGGACGAGCTGCACAGCCATACCGCAGGGAATACCAACGGTGCGCGCCATGGCGGTAGCGCCATGGGGAATGCCGTACTCCAGCATGGTGCTCGTGATAATCTCCTATACAGGCAGGGTGGGACAAGAACACAGACCAGTACGTGTTGAGCTCGACTCAAATTAGGCTCGCAAAGCGAGATGCAAGCACAGTGATACCACACACACACACACCTGCTTGCCCGAAGAGCGGGTCACGTGGAACTTGTGCTGCATCATGATCATGTCCCGTTCGCCGGGCTGGTACTTGAGCTTGATGGCAAGGTGCTCAGCCAGTGAGTCGAGCAGAGAGGACTTGCGTGGCACATCTTCGCTCGCGAACAGGCCAAACCTAAGCCACGTGCAAAACACAACACGTTGAAAAGTAACCCCAAATGAGTTTCACGGGTGGCCAAAAGAAAGTCCAGTCAAAGCCGGTGGAAGTTTTTTGGTGCGTTTTCTGGTGCGTTTTCTGTCAGCTTCCGCGTGTGCCAGGGAATGAGGCAGGTGTGACGCACCACTTCATGCCGGCAACGATACGCGCACGGTCGGCCGAGTCGGCAAGCTGCGCCTTCTTCACAAAAGCAGCCTCAAGCTCCCTGTCAATGCAACACAAGTTTTGAAAAAGAAAAAAAAATCCGTGTGAGCAAAGAGATGCAGAAGTAGCAGGGATGCCAGCTTGAACAACTGGAGCAGATGAAGACGCTGTGGGCAAGCAGGAAACGCACTCTTCGCTCTCGCCGCACTCGAGAAGGCGGGCCATGACGGCACACCAGGCAATGGCAGGGCTGGACTCTTGCAGGAAGGGCTGGGCATCATCATTGAGGAAGCCAACATCAGCCAGTGCCTTGACAAAGGCCGGGTTGCCCTTGTAACGGAGGGTGCCACGCAGCACGGTCTTGGCCTCGGGAATGCCGTAGCGTTCGGGATAGGGGGTGGAGTCACGGTTGGGGTAGCCCTCAAAGGCAAAGGCCGGGTAGATGGGCACCTCGCGCACGGCCGCAGGCGTAAGGAGCTCGGGCGACTTGACCTCCTTGACCTGACCATCCTCAATCCAGCGAGCCGTGTTGCCGGCCGCCAGCAGCACACCACGCGCCGACCAGCTGAACTTATAACCCAGAGGGTTGTTGGAAGCCTCCGGTGCAGGAAGACCACCACAGAACGAGGTGAAGTGGTCAATCTAGCCAAGCGAGAAGAGCCCCAGAGAAGAAGATGAGAAAAAAAAAACAAAAAAAAACCCCCTCCTTGATCGTGAGCATTCATGCCTGCACGGGTGGTGCCTTTGGGCTTTTGGGAAAGGGGGTTGGAGGGCTGCGTTTGTTTCGGGTATCAAAGCCATGGGAAGAATGCGACGCAATGCATACCTTGCCGCCCTCGGCGTGGACCTTGTCAATGATCTGCTTGGCATAGAGATGGTCAATGCCAGGGTCGACACCGATCTCGTTCATGACCGTGATGCCGGCATCCTTGGCGCTGTATACGCATGCCAGTAGAAACGAGCATGAGAGGCAGGTTGCCTAACCAATTATCATGGCCACAAAACACGTATCGTAGACGCGACAATTTGGAGAATGGCATCACGTACGCTTGGTCGTAGCCAGCCATGGTTGGGGAGACATAGCTGGTTGAGACAAAGTGCTTTTGGGCCTTGATGGCGGCCTCGATGACCAAGGGATGGTAGGTGTAAGGGATCAGGCTGTGCTCGGGTCACAAGCAGGCAAGACTGACATGAGCCACTGGTTGGTCAGAAGCACAGCATGCACACGCACACGGCAAGACGGTGGTGGCAAGAGGCAGGAGCGCAAAGAAAAGAAGAAAAGGACCAGGCATTACCTGATGACCAGGTCGTGCTGGGACACGGCCTCGAGGAGGGCATCGGCGTTCTTAACATCCAGGCTGGTTGCCTTGCAGCGGTCGCGACCACCCACGAGCTCAGTGGCCTTCTCGAGCGTACGGCAAGCAACGGTGATGTTGTTCTCCGGGCGACGAAGCAAGTAGTCGAGGCAAGGGCCGGCAACAAAGCCCGCGCCGAGAAGCAAAATTTGACTAACAGAATCCCATCAACAAAGAGACATGAGCATGTCGAATCGACACAGCACGGCCGTGTGGCAGGCATGATTGGACGGGCTCGACGTACGGCATGATGACGGGATGTAACAGAAGGAAACTGGCACAAGGGAAAGCTCTTCTATCAAGGGTGCGAAACAAGCCAGTGCAGCGAGCGAGCGCGCGTGAGTGGACACTGTGACTGGTCTCGTTGTTGGTCGCGTTTGACAGGTCATAAAAAAAACCCCCCTGTCCTCTCAGTCTGTGATCCCAACACACCAAACGGCCCCTGCCCCCCGGACCATCCCAACAACCCCCAGAGACGAACAAGACACTGATCAGATAAATGCACACGAGACGCCAGCTGCCATGCGAAAAAGACACCGGCGACACCAGCGACACACGTGTGTCTGCGCCTCTCTCTCTCTCTTGCTTTTAGTGTGCATAACTTGACCGCAGCAGGCTTGCACAACATCGCTGAACGTTTTTGCGATCGAAACACATGGGCAGGCCAGGCACATGGCACATGGCAAGCTCAAATGAAGAAAGATGTCTTGGAGGAGTTGGGGAAGCGTATCCGGAAGCAGATGGGCAGGTGCTGTCACTCATCCCAAACCAAGAAGTCCCAAGCCAGTGCCCGAACCGGACTGCCGTTTGAAGGCGCATCGGCAGATCAGTGACCACTAAATAATGTTTTACCGCAAAAAAGAGAGAAAAATGACATGTGAGCACTTTGTGTGTGTGTGTGTGTGTGTGTGTGTGTGTGTGTGTGTGTGTGTGGTTGAAGAAATCCCAAGATCAAGCAGATACGAAGAGAGTGACCATAACCTTTAACTGCGAAAGCAGTGAAAGACACTGTTATTCACTGCATAAACTCAGCTTTTAGCTACAAATTTTTATGAGTAATTTACACTCATATCGAGCATTTAATATGCACATCCAGCACTAACCTTTCGATCCTCGTCGATAACTTGACAATAACTTTTATCGACGTCAACTAGCGAGACTTCATCATTAACTAACACCGGGATTTTTAATAAATCTACAACAACTCCAAACCCTGCAGCATAAAGTGGTCATTTCTTTCGCAATCGGCAAGATGTCATCGCTGTTGTGGATATTGGCGGCGCTTGTGGTCGTCGGGCTCGGGCGCGCTGAGGAGGGATCGCCGGCCGCGTCGACTGATGGAGAACGGCTGCTGCAATCCATTGGCTTTAAGCCGCTTCAGAGCAATGCATTGACTGGCTCACGACCCAACATTGTTGTCCTTTTTGTGGATGACTTTGGCATCGGCGATGTCGGTACGTTGTTGTGACATGACAACCTCTGGGTATGTGACGACTGGTCTTGCTAGCTGCCTCGCCATGAGCTCAGCCCCACCGCGCCCGATTTAGGAATCTACAATTCCAAATACAATGATACCCCCAACATGGACAGTCTGGCCCGGCGTGGTATGCGCTTCACCGACTTTCACGCCATGCCACTCTGTGGCCCCTCCCGTGCCACTCTACTGACGGGACGTCTTGGCCTTCGCAATGGCATTACTGGAAACTTCAGCCCGCTCAGCCTGTATGGTCTTCCCCTCAACGAGACTACCATTGCTGAGGTCTTGCAGGGTGATTACCTCACGGCCATGGCAGGCAAATATCACCTGGTGTGTTTGAATACCGTTCGACCGCTCACCAACCCATGACGATCGTATAAAGCCAGACAGGCACACAGGCAGACAGGCACACAGGCAGGCAGGCACACAGGCAGGCAGGCAGGCAGGAAAATTAAAAGAGCTCACGCGACACATGCCACATGCCACATAGGGAATTCAACCCGATTATAATCCGGTACGACGAGGCTTTGACCGCTTCCTCGGACTGGCCACCAGCCACGACTACGGATGCACGAATACTGCTTTTCAGGCACAGCCCCAGGTTGAATGCCCCAATTATAAGTTTGATACGTGCAGTGCCTACGGCAACAGCCACGCTGACCCCTCATCCTGCCACATTGGGCCCAACAATCCCTGGAAGGAGAGCGTGCCCCTTTTTGGCAACTACAGCATCGTGGAACAGCCCGTCAATTTATGGAATCTGACCGAGCGCTATGTCGACTTTGGTATCCAGGCCATGCACGACGCCCACACCGCGCACAAGCCCTTCTTTCTTTACGCCGCTTTTAACCACATGCACGTGCCCATCACCAGCCACCCGGATTTTGACAACAGCAGCACCTCCAACGGACAATACGAGCATGGCCGCGTGTACGGCAATGCCCTCCGCGAGTTGGATCACCACATTGGTCGCCTGATCACCGCCATCGATGACATGGGCATCCGCAACAACACCATCATCTTTCTAACAGGTGACAACGGTGGTTCCTCGTTTGAGTGCCAGTATGGTGGCTCCAACTGGATCTACAATGGCACTTGGCTGCGCATGCACGGCGGTGGCGGAGGAACTGGTACGTCGTCGTAGGCACACCGCATATACTTTGTAGCCGCTTTCACTCTGACGCCCCTTGTCCTGGCCCCGTGCTGTGCTGAGCAGGCAAGACAACGACATGGGAAGGTGGGCATCGCGAAGCGGGCATCGTCTCATGGCCCGGCAAGATTGCCGAAGGCTCGATCAGCGAAGCTCTCACCGGCACCATCGACTACTTCCCCACCATTGCCAACCTGGCTGGCAAGAGTCTGCCTGCTCACCGGTATTTTGATGGGCTGGACATGGCTCCAATCCTGCTCAACGCAAGCGCTCGGGGTCACACCAGCATGTTTCATCCCTCATACGGAGAGGGCAGCCCACACTTTGGTGCGATTGAGACCATCCGCGTTGGAGATTACAAGGCCAAGTATCGCATCAGTAATACTGCTGGCTGCAAGGACTGGCCCGACTCGCAGATTGGCCACGGCGGCACCAAGTATCTGCCAAAGCCACTCATCTTCAACCTTAGAACCGATCCCTCCGAGGCTCGACCCCTGGATGAGAACAGTATGGAGTACGGGACCGTGCTCAACGCGATTGGCGAGGCCTGGGCGGCTTTCAATCATACAGTCGCCATGGACAACACGACCAAAGCCAACTTTGCACAAGACTCCACTTGCACCCCCGAGCATTGCATCAAGCCCTGCTGCTCCACCAGCACTCCCCTCTGCACATGCCACTAAAGGGTGGCGCGAGATCGTCCCTCTGCCATGTGTCTCTGCTGCCGTTGGCTACAGCGGCAGCCATGTGATTCGTTGTTGTTTGTTTGTTTGTTTGTGTTCTGTCTCTCTGTGCTTCTTTGATGGTTTGTGGCTCCGCTTCAATTGACATGTGAAGCAGTTGAGCCCCCCCCCCCCAAAAAAAAAAAAAAAAAAATGTCAAAAGGACTAGCCCGCGGCCCAATCGATGCTGCCCACACCCGTGCTCTCATCAAAGGTGACGTGCACGCCCGCACTGAACGTGCGCTCCCACACTGAGCCAGAGCGAGTGGCGTTTGCCAGCGGGCGACCCAGCGGGCGCGTATACTCATCGTTCCAATGGGACCATGAATCAAAATACCACCCAAGGCTACAGCCGTAGTATGATCGCTCCCCCGCACCAATGAGAAAGGAAGCCAGCGTGTTGGTGATGTTGGTGCAGTTGCTATCGTGCTCAATCCCATGGTAGCCGGCATGCACCTGCACCAGGCGGCCGGCGGCCACAGCGGTCATCAAGGCATGCAAACTTGCCGCATCGTTTTGATAAGTCTCGATCATCAGAGCATCCAGATCAGTAGCGTTGTCGTTGTTAGAAATGAGGTAGCCCGGAATCTGATTCTGTAACTCACGCAGGACCTGATGATGGCCCAACGCATATGCCGCATTGTCGGCCTCACTGACACCGGGCAACTGGCCTATCTGAGCACGATCGGCGAAGCATCCATCGATCACACCCGTTTGCGTCATGTTGATGCAAGATTGTGCCCAAAACTGACGACCAGCTGCCGTGGTGAAATTGAAAACAAGCATTCCATCGGATGGTTGCGGAAAGGTGGGATCACCCCGCAGTCGCACGGGCGCCCCCGCCTGCTGATACATCCAGTGTTCCGGATGAGCTAGCATGTGCTGGTGGAGGCGGTACATTTCCCAGTCCAGCACGCTGTTGATGTAGTAGAGAACATGAATATCGGGTCGGCGTGCCTTGATGACTTGGGCCTGCTCCAGGATCTTGTCCTCAGCACAGCACACGGACACATTCTCGCCCTGGCCCTTCTCAAGGGTGATCATGGCAAAGCGCAGCATAAAAGCGAGCGCCTCCTCATTGAAGGGCCCACTCTCGTTACACATGTGGACGTAAACGGGCACTGTGTCCCAAGAAAAATAAGGCTGGCGCCGCTCCCCACCTGCTGCCATCACGGCATAGCCCAAGAGCAACCCGAGCCCCCACGTCCAGCCCCTCATTCTGGCGTCCGGCGTCTGCTTGAGCAAAAATGATGTTTCTGCGTCTTCGTGTTTTTGTTTTTGGTGTTGTGTTTGTGTTTATGTTTTGCTTTATTGGGGTTTCTTGCTTATGCCTCTCTCTCTCTCTCTCTCTCTCTCTCACCAATTCATTTCCTTCTGCCTTCTCCCTTCTCCCTTCCCTCCTTCCTTCTTCCTTCCCTCCTTCTTCCTTCCTCCTTCCTGCCTCCTCCTTCTTCCTTCCTCCTGCCTTCTTCCTTCTTCCTTGAAGTGCTTTTCGCTGAATGCCTTGGTCTGCACCAATTCATCTCCTTGGCAAAGAGGGGGCGCGAAGCAGAAAGAAGAGAATGGGACGTACATGTCTTGCTAAGATTCAACTAACATCAACAGTGCCTTGCCAAACGACATCCTCTGAAACATTGGGTGAGGGGCAAACCCGTGTCAAAAGCCAAAGCCTCCTTCTTCCTCCTCCTCGTTGAACCCAAACCCATCCATGTTCATATCGCCCACATCCGCCTACCGGATCCAGCAGTGCACAGCAACACTCCAACATGAACTGGCTTACGAGGGACAAGTTTGATTTGTTTTCCTATACTCTCATCGTAGGCCCTCAGGTTGCACGCACCTCTTCCACAACATCGGACGTCGCGAAGAGACTTTCGTCAATGTCATCCAAAAGATCGTCCTCTGCTCCAAAGCCTGCGGCAGATGGAGGCACAGGATCAGTCTGTAAGGCAAAAGCGCTTTCCTGCCGGGGTTGATCATGCGTGCTCGATAAGCACAAGAATGAGGCGCGATATAGAACCACACCATAGCTGTTGTTATCGTCGTCAGTCAGGAAAGAGATCATGGAAGCTCGCGCCGACGCCTCTTCGTGCACCTCGGCCAAGACGGCAGAAGTGCCCCCCACAGAAGATGACAGGCTCTGAATCGAATTGGCGTGTGCAAGAAACAAGTTGAGACCAATGGTACAATAGGAACCGCTCAATCGGAACCCTGCAGACCTATCGTACTTACCGCACGCTTGCCTTTGGACTTTTGCACCGAGTTTCTGCGCCGCAGCCCTGCGTTAATCTGCAGCAGATATGCGCATGGTGAATATCACACACTGAGACAATGGGATGTGGGCCAAAGCAAGACAGCGCCCCCACCCGATGCTCACACGCCGACACCCACATACACACCTTAATGGAGGAACGCCGCTTCAAACCAATGCCAACGGCCAGCGTCAGATCGTCCGAATCGGCTGGCGCAACGCGACGATGCTGGCTACCCGGCGCAGCTTGTTGCTTTTTCTGTGCTTCTTCAGACGCATGGTATTGCTCTGTCGCCTCGTTCTGACGCTCGATGCGTCGCCCAATACGCGCCTGCCTCGCCCAGAAACAAATTTGTGAATCAAACATGAGGTGAAACAATGGAGGCGGGAGTACTGTAAACTGGTTCCATGTAGCGCAGGTGGAACGCACCGCTTCAAGAAGTGTATCAAGAAAGTCGCGGCTGGCCTTGGGGGCGACGGCAAACAAGTGACAGGCTGCACGACCATCGCCTACGGAACCAAATGTGACACCACGTGCCAGGTGCATAAAAGAGCATGGCCAAGCAATGCTTCGGGAAGAGAGGGGTCGAACAAGCACTCGTTGCCTAGCGTGCATGCTGTGTACGGAGACAGACCACTGTGTTGGACGACGATGATGTCTTGCTTGTCTGTCGTTTGTTCGTCAGTGTACTATCAAACAGTTCAGATAAAGAAAACGTTGAGACAACCGGTTGGGGCATGACAAACAGGGCCGGGCATGCAAGAGCGAGCCTATGCCGTACGTGTGTGCATTGCACCATATGAACGGTCTGAAAGAAGAATGGCTCGGCCGTCACATCAATGGTCGGCTTGATCTGAACAATGAGAAGGGAATGAACAGAGTGATTTTTATGACGAAGCCATGTTGGCGCGCTATGAAACTATACACACGAAGGACCGAGGCCATCATACCGTGACGGCGTGGGTCGCAGCGAGGACGGTGACCGGATCACCGCGACGCACATCATGCCCATGCTTGGTCAAGAACTGCGAAATATATCGATGCGAGAAGAAAAAAAACACGTCGGGTTAATCATGCAAGCACAAAACACATTGGGGCTGAAAACTTGACGCGTGCGGTGGCCATGGGACGGATAGGCGTGGCATCCGTTGCACGCACTTTGCTGGCTGCGTTACGCAGACGAGGGTCATCGGCATTCCCGCCTTTCTTGGCGATGCTTTCGGAAACCAAGCGATCCTATTGAACAAAGGGTAAGAGGGGCGACGCCCAGAGTCGCGAGACGGGGAGTAAGCAGTGCGTGGCTCAAGAAACGGCTTGTACGACAAAGGGGGTTGTGCGACAGCGGGGGTGTATGACAGCAGGATTGAGCGTACGTGAAGCTTTTGGAGCTTGATGAGCAGGGTCTTGGCAGCAGCACTTAAGACACCACCCTGCTCCTCTGGATTGACCAGAGAGGCGAGTGGCACAAAGCCGAGATAGCGAACCTAGCGCACAAACGGCAAAAAAACCGGCCACCACAATTAACGCAGCGACCACTAGAAAGCAGCCGTGCGGCCAAGAAGAACTCGTGACAACGTGGGCTGGTAGAGAAGCAGCGTGGTGGTGCGCAAGAGCCAGAGCTGTGATGGAACACGGCTGCTACCTGCTCAAAAGTGTGCACTTGGGAGTCAAAGATGAAATCGGGCATTATGCCTGGCCTATTCGCTCAATCGCCCTGTGTCTGTCTCGGCAACTCGACCAACGCGTCCCAGGCCAGAGCACCTATGCGCTCGTGATTGCTTGCTTCCAAAGCACCAGCGCCTGTTCATGCCAACCATGGATAAGAGCACGCCACAGCGCAGCCAACTGGATCTCGCAACAGTAGGGTTTTTTTTTTTTGAACGGCACGAGTTCACTCGCCAAAGCGTTCGTTCTTGCCGTCACCCCTTGCCCTGCAGATTCACGTACAGCAGCAGCCTGCCAAAATGACCCCAGAACCCAGAATCGTCAACCCGCGCCCGCGCCGACTGGTCCACTGCTTAATCACCACACCCGGTTGGTTCACTGCCCCGACCCAGCAGCGCCCCCGTCACCGCAGTCCGTATCAATCCCGAAAAGGCCAATCCCCCCGCCCTCTTGTTGATGTTTATTAATCCACGCTTTAAACAGGGTTTGTGCAGTTTTTCATACGGATACAACGTTAGAACATGCAGACAAGTTTCGAGATCTCGACTCGTTTACTCTTATTTTATCTGACAATTGGCGATCTGTCTGACAAACCGGCTGAGCTATCTGACATTCTCTGACTGCACACACTGCACACGAAGCGACTTGGTCGACCGTCGTATTTTATCTGACAACGGCGCGCAGCACGTTGCACGACTGGTGCGCGCTCTCTCTCTCTCTCTCTCTCTCTCTCTCTCTCTCTCTCTCTCTCTCTCTCTCTCTCGTCCGTGCTCAGCTGTGCTTTGCGCCGGGGGCCTTCGCCTGCTTGTTGCCGTGCTCGTGTGCTTGCTTTGTCGCGCTTCTCCTCTTGCGTTTTGGTATCTCGGAGGACCCAAGATTGTGGCAGCGTTCTGCGTTTCTGCTCTGAACTCAGTGAGCACCCTGTGATCTGCCGGATTTGGACAGACCCGCGCACAAGCCCGCTGAGCAAGATGGCTCTTCGTGCTGTGACTCGCCAGCTCCTGGCAACGTCAATCGCGCACACGGCTCTGGTACTGATGCACGGGATCTGCTCTTGCTTGTGCGCGTATCTTCGTCGCTCGTCTCACCCGGTAATTTTGCTGGCCATGGGTCCTTTAGCGCCGGTCCCTGAACACAACGCGTCTCCTCCCGGCTGGACACAGCAAGTGGGCTAACATCAAGCACCAAAAGGCGCGCCAAGGTCCGACTGGGCAGAACGCACACCTCATCATTTCTGCTCTGGGCTCAATATTCATCGGCGCCTCTCCTCTGGTGGCGTTTGCCTGGCCCCGTATAGACAAGTCTCGCTCAATCCTCTTTGCCCGGTTGCACCGGTACGGGCAGCACCAATCTTTTGAGCATGCATGGGTCATCCCGCAACCCAGGGCTCAATCTGAACATGCATGTCCCCAAGCGTTCTCCTGCCTTACGTTTTTTTTTTTTCCTTTCCTGCCCTCTCAGAGACATTGTGATTGCCATCAAGGGCAATGGTGGAAATGCAAATCCAGAGAGTAACCTCCGTCTCAAAACCGCGCTGTTGGTGATCCGCGCGTTGGGTTCCCTTGTTCGAATCATGCTACCGTGAAGCTTGCATAGAGGTTTTTTCGAGGCCTCATTCATGTTTGTTGGACATGCTTCCTGCTCGGACTTTACAGAGCGGCTGCCCGCAATGCTGACATGCCCAAGGACAAGATTGAAGGTGAGGCCCCAGTCTCCCGTTTCATGCTTCTACCACTGCTCCTCGCCGCCACCTCTTGACAGCTGATCCGAATGCACCCGCATGGTTGCCCAGGCGCACTGCGAGTAGGCAAGGGTGAGGGCGTGCAGGCACAGGTCTTTACCTTTGAGTGTCGTGGACCAGGTTCGTCTGCCCAGGGTCCCTGAGAGCGTCAGCCACCGGCAAGCGTCTGTGTTGGTGCCTTGTCATGACAAACCTTTCCGCTGTGCCTCGACAGGCGGAACGCTCATGATTGTTGAAGCCGAAGCTGAGCGTCGTGAGCACATTGTTCCTGAGCTCAAGTCGGTAGCGTTTGACCTCTGCTTACTCAATACCAACGCTTTCCAACACACTGCGCCTTCACCTGGTGTCAGCCTCATGGTGCTTTCGCTTCTTGGTTGCTACTCTTGCTTCTTGGTTGCTACTCCTGCCCTTGCTCGCTTGTTGGGCCGCAGTAAGTGGTGCCAAAGGTTTGAGGCCGAGGTCTGTGACGTGAACACGGCGCAATGGGCATTTGATAAGCGCGGTCGCGTCGTCGTCAGCAAGGCTGATATCTGGGCCAAGAACCCGGACTTGCAAGAAAACTTTGACCCTGAGGAGTTTGCCCTCAACTTTGATAATGTGGAGGAGGCTGATGAAGATGATGATGAAGTCTTTGTATGTCTTGAACCACATCCGTCCCCGGCGCGCGTCCCGTGTTGCTTCCCGCCGTACGCAAATTACCAGTCGATTGCTCATGAAACCGTTGCCGTGGTGTGGACGCCCTCTCTTGACCTTCTGTCATGGATCTGTGGGCTAGCTGTTTTGTGCACCTGCGGACGCACAAACTCTAGAGGAAAGCGTGCAGGTGCGTGCAGTGACCGAGCTGCCAAACATTGCTGTGGACTGTGGTCAAGGCTCATGTGGACATCTTGTGTTGTGTGCGTACTCTGTTTGATGGCCTCTTGCAGGCTGCTGGTTATGAGCAGGCCTACAGTGAGACGGCTTATCTACCCAATACGCCGCATCCAATCGAGTATGCTCGTCGGCCTGCTGTCGTGTGGCGCGCATTTACACGCCGACTTGGCTCACTTTCTTCTTCTTTTTCTTTTTCTTCCCTTTCCTTTTTGCATTGCACGCTTGCTGCTTGTCACACCTGTGGTGCAGTGAGACTACCATGGATGCTGTCCAGAAGCTTGTGGCCAAGCTCAATGAGATTGACTCGGTCCTCAACGTATACACCAATGAAGTGGCCAGCTAGCACGGCCCCTCTGCCCTTTTCCTTGAGTTGAAGCTGGCCCTTTTGTTGACCATCTCGATCGTGTCTACGTAACACACACACGCGCAAAGACGCACACACACACACACACACATATCACCCATGCATATACACACGCGAGTCGCCAAATCATGAAACATATCTACATGTGCATGTGTGCGGTGCGTGTGCTCTCTCAACTATGGGAAACCTATCCGCACATGCCACAACCGAGGAAGGAGCGGCTTTGCCGCATTTTTTCCTCGACCTGCTATCAAGCAGGACAGCTTCCGTGCAAAGACCTGGCATGTCACGTTGCCCTCCACCCTCTGCCATTCACTCTCAACGCTGTGATTCTATTCGGGCAGCAGGCATTGATTCGCGATCCACACACACACACACACACACACACACACACACACACACACACACACACACACACACACACACACACACACACACACACACGAAAAGAAGAGAGAGAGAGATGTCAGCCATTTCATCTCCTACAACAGACGTTTCGTGTCCGTCGCCTCGGGTGCCGGGTGAGCTGAGTGGCTCGATTCAATTTGCCGGTGTGGGTGGGGTGGAGCGTGCGGCTGTGGGGGTGGAAGGGGCTTTGCACGCCTCCAGCATGGCGCTGCGCGTGGTGTATCTACCCATTCTGATCCTGCTGAGCAGTGCGGCTGGCTTCATCACCTCGTGAGTTTCCTCCAAGTCTGCCCCGCGCCTCAACTCCACACGATTCCCGCCCCTCCTCACCGCTCGTCCGGGGGGTGTCCTTGGCGTTTGGCATGCCGTACCTGATGACAGCTACATTATTGCATATCGAGATCATGACTTGCGCTACGAGCCCGATTATATCAGTGACACGGGTGCTCATCCGCCGGAAAGCTCCTACTTCACTTTTTTTCTCTGCCTCACCAGTCTCTTTGGTTCGTGTCCGCATCGGCCGCGCTCCCGCCCATCATCCGTGCTAGTTTTCGATCACTTTGAGTCAACATCATGCCATGTCATCGCGGCTGTCTGCAGCGGGAGCCTACGTCATCATTCTGCGTCTCCACATGCAGTCTCGCTTGACGGTGCCGGTATGCGGACTGTCTTGAGCTTGCATCGTGCACCTTGCTTTTTTCCTTGGGCTAACATTTATCTCACTACCAATCGTCTGTCTGCTGGGCTGGGCGTCGCAATTACAGTACTTTCGCAAGCTGAATAGCATTGCTGGCATCTGTGGTGTTGTGGCTGCGTTTGGGGCACTGATTGTAGCCGCCTTTCAGGTTTGCATCGGCCTGCCTCACACACACACACACACACACACACACACACACACACCTGCACGCAGCTTACCTATGGCGAATGGCTGGGTTCGACTTACAGAATGTCAACGTGTACTTTATGCACATGAGTGGAGCGTCACTCTGCTTCCTGTGCGGCGCTTTCTACGTCAGCGCCATGACCAGGATCAATTTCCACCTTGGTTCGCCCAATCGCTCACATGCACGCACTTGTTACCCCCATCTTCATATATTTAAGGCGACTCACCTATGATGACATGACCACCCGATGCCACGTTTTCTTGTCACCCCTTGGTTCTGGGCCATAAAACTCTACAGGACTCGCGGGGCGACGGGTTCAACTGGGCCTCTGCATTATCTGCATCTTGGCGCTGTTGGGTGGCATGGCTTTTGTTACCATGGCCTACTGGGACGGACACGTGCGCTTGGCCAATGAAGTAGCAGCCGGCTGTGAATGGACCTTGGCCGGCTGCTTCATTCTGTTCTTCCTCAGCCTGATGCCTGTGAGCCGCCACCTTACCCTCAGCTTCCAAATCTTTGACGCGAGCCGAGGTGGCATGGCCTACTCTGGTCACGGCCGCCAAGGCGCAGTACCTGACACCCATCCGCAACTGAGCGCCCGCACACCGCTGCTCGCGCATGATGCGCAGGGACACAAGCACTTGCAAATGCAAATGCCCGCCACCAATCACAAGACCGCCCCTTTTCCAACTTTTGCTCCCACCTCAACCCCCACATCCCGTTCAAGCCAGGCAGCCTCTGCTGGTCCCCGTGCACCCGCATCGACGTACCCCTCCCTGGATGGACTCGTGTCTAATGGGACGATGGCCAAGTCTAATCGCGTGGCAGCTTCCCGTGGCGGTCCGCTCGGCTTAGGTTTGTTGTGACTGGCATCAACAAATTACGTTGCTTGGGTGACGCATGCTCACAAACGTGCTTCATTCGATCTGGTGGTTGTAGATGCTGCGCACGGTCTTGACTCCTCCTCAGTCGGGTCCAGCGCCGCAGCTAGTCAAGCCCAGGGCATCCCGTCCGAAGTCGCTGGCCATGTTGCTTTCATGGATGCACACCAGCACTGGCTCAAGTCAACAGAGCGCATGGAGGAGCCGAACCATCACGCTCGAGTTTGAAAAACGAGACAACTGCCAGTTGATTGTTCTTTTTTTTCTTTTTCTTCTTAGAGTCGCAGTTGTACGACCCACCAAGGGGCGGTGCATCGGGCACGTAGCTGAAAAGTACGGCGCATAACGAAAAAATTTGATATGTAAAGCATGAATAAATTCGACTCTGACGCTCTTCACGTTGGCGTGAAGCTTCAAATGCCGAATGCTCAACCACATGGAAGCACACGGAAAAAAAAAAAAAAGGTAGATGCGCGCATGTACTGTCTGGTCTCTACTTGACGCCGGGCCTTGACATGTTCCAGCATAAGAAGAGCGGGGCTAGCCCTGACGGCAAGGCGCCACAACGCATGATAGGTCAAGCAGGAAAAAGCGGGTACCACTTCTGTCTTTGACAAGCCGAGAGGAAACTCATCCAGGGGGGTAAAACTGTAGACGATTACCCGGCAAGTAAAATTCAGCATCCTCAGATACCATAATTGACTCGATACTGATCCTCTAACCGGCCCGGTCGTGCTGCAGTAATGCTCGTCACAGGTTGCGGCTGCATGCGGCAGGCCAACCGAGATGAGAGGAGAGGATACGCAAGAGAAAAGCTGGCGTGTAACCCGTTCCGAGACGACCGACCTTATGTGCTCCCATGACGACGCGATGGACGGGTGCCGCATTCGTCTACAGCAAGTTGAAAAAATATTCCACGATGGATAAATGAGGACGCGAAACTTTGGCTTGATCCATACACGACGCTAAGGAGGGCAAAAGCAGACGGTGTGCACACACCTCGGATGCGCGGAAGGATTGTCGGTAGGTGGTGGCCCAGTGCCCATTTGCTGCCGATGCATCTTGCTCGGAAGCTTGAGACAAGCGCTTCTACGGTTGGTAGTCAAACACGTGAGGCCTGTGCACAACACCATAGTGCAGCACAGTTTGACTCGAAGGCACGACAAGAGAGATGTGGGCACCCACCACCAAGCTGGGCGCGCTCTGCGGCTTGGCCGATGATGGCGTAGAATTTGCGGGCGGCTTCAAGAGTAAAAGAGGTTTGGTCGGAACCGATGCGGCCGGAGGATTTGATGCCTGCTGACGCAAGCCAACCACGAGATGACACACACACACATGGAAACATGGAAACATGGACCCGGCTCAGAGATGGGCGAGAGATTGACTACTATGGACGTACGAGGGGTACATTGGTGGCAGTTGAAGGGGCAACAAAACCGACGTGTGTCTGTGTTGTCTCACTGCGGGGTTGTGTGGCAGTCAACTGGGCTGCCACCTGAGCGTGCAAAGTGTGTAAGTGACCCGGGCAACGCTTGAACCAGTGCGGCTGTTCCAGACGATCCAAGCAAGAGGTGCGCGAGATGTTGAAGTGGGTCGAGTTGTCAGTAGCATGGGCGCGAGTTACCTGGGCAGCTTGTTCGGCAGCAGCCTCTTTTCGCCGTTGTTGGCGCAACTGTGATGCCCGAGTCTTGGCATGGCGATTGACCTGTAGGACCCCAGAAGCCAGCATGACCGATCGTAAGTTTGGTGGTTGCAGAGGCCAGGTGGTCAGTGACCCTGTCTCGCTGATCTCCACCATTCAAAACGTGCACGGGCACCAGCGCACACACACACACACACACACACACACACACACACACACACACGAACACACCAACACACCAACACACGAACACACCAACACAAGAACACACACACACACACGCACACACGAACACACACACACACACAGATGGACTACCAGTAGTAGTTTTTACACACCAACACACGAGCACGAACACACACACACACACACACACACACACACACACACACACACACACACACACACACACACACAAGCGGAGACGGATCCAACCTCGTGGGCAGCGCGAATATTGAAAGTTTGTTTGTTCTTCCAGTAACCCAGTTGATCGTTGTTCCAACCATACATGGCAAAGGGGGGACGTTGGGGTGGCTTGCGAACTTGGGCATCCGCCGTTTCCCGCATGATCTGCCGATCAACAACCATTCAAGATGGAGTGATGTCAAACAAGGTGAGCGCAACTCGGAACAGCTTGCATAAGCCGATGTCAGTCAAGCCTGGCCAAAGCCGTACGCGAGATTTGTTGGCACCCTTGGAAGTGGCCTTGCTCGGCGCAGCAGCATCCTTGATTGCTGACTTTGACCTGGGGGCTTGATTGTGGGTCAGGGCTTTGATAGTGGATGTGGGTGGCGTCTACCACAAGACACGGGAGAACACAGGATGAAATGAGTTTTGGGGCGTACAAGCGAGGTGGCTTGGTCAATGGAGTGTATCAGTATGGCACTGACTTGAACCTGAACGTGGGATGTCTTCAGCACGGGCACGCGGTTGGCTGTCTTCAAAATGGGCTTGGGCAACGAGCCAGGAGCCGGGGTCGACATGACAACAGCCGCCTCCTTCGGAGGCTCGGTGGGGGATGCACGGACTTTGGCAAGCGGCTCGACCATGACCTCAAAGTCCTCTGCTGGAGGTATATCTACATGCTCCTCATTGGCGCAAACGAGCGAGGCCTGGGTCCGCGGCATGGGAGGCGGCGCAGCCACTACAGGCGCGGGCACGGCACGTGGCGCTAGCTGTTGGACAGGCGGGGCGGTGTTTGCAGCTGTCACCACGGTGGTGGGGTGTGGAGTTGGTGCCGTCGAACGTGATGCGGGCAAGGGCGGAGCTTGCCCCTCGGCAATCCACCATGTGAAGGGGACATGGCTATACTCGCGGACACGGGCGCGCGATCGCGAACGAAGGTTGCTCACGTATTCCTCAAAGCTGGGCGTGGTAGCCTCGGCCACGGGGACCGTAGCCATGGCTCACGCGTAAAGTATAGCCTGGGACCAAAAGGTGACAGCAAAGATGACGGCTGCACCGACAATCAGCAGCACCAGCACGCCCGTACCACCGTACCACCGACAGTAGCAGTAGCAGCGGCAGCCAAAACGAGCAAAAAAAAAGAAAAAGAAAAAGAAAAAAAGCGCGAAAAATAAAATTCGAGTGCTTCTCCAAATTAAAGCCGTGTTCTTCAAATTGTAATTTTTGGTAAACATGTCCTGACAGGTTTTGTGGCGCACACACCTTGTTTTAGACCACAGTTGCGTATGCTCTCTCTCTCCCTCTCGCTGTTCTCTCTGCTCTCTCTCTCTCACTCTCTCTCTCTCTCTCACTTTTTCTCGGAACGAAACGGAACGGAAAGGATGGCAGCAACCCGCAGTCGTGAGACCAGGGCGTGGCCGCGGCGGTCCGCGCAGGTATGTCTGATGCACTTATTGGTTGCCCGTGGACCTGGTGGGGATTGTGGTTCCGTCTTGCATTTACGAAAACATTTGGCCGGCGATACAGAGTGAAGCTCGCGCGGCGATTCAGAGTTTGCGCCAAAAGTATCGGAAACACGCACAGGCGGAATCAGCGATGGAGAATACAAGACTTGATGTCAACACACTTCTCGCAGCCACGGCCCCAGATGCCAAAAAAGCCAAGCTAGCAGCGCCTGCCCCTTCCACAACCAGTGTCTTTGACTTTGACGGTGAGCCCGAACCAAGCTCTACCGGCCAGCAGCTTAGTCGGAGGCGTCGACATGGGAGCCGAGAACTTCAGCGCACCACTTCGCGGCGCCGAGCAAGCACAAGAGGCACGTCAGAGGCACTGCCTTCCGCCTCTTCGACGCCTACGCGCCGACGACGGGGTACCGCTGTCGCTCCGGAAAGCTCCACGATGGCGGCCTCGGTGTCATGGGCTACCTCAGCCACTCCCGAGCCGAAGAAGGTCGATGCAACGCCACTGAACCTGCCATCCAGCTCGCGCTGGCGGCCGCATCCAGATCCCGAGCTGAGTTCAGTGAGCCCAGCCACCTCGATGTCGTCAACTGCGGTCACATCCCTGGACCTGCCCTCGCCCCTCACCTCACCGCGTAGCCGACGTGCTGCAAGGCCTCGAAACCCAACAACGCCAGGTCGAAAAAGCACGGCAAGCCCTCGTACCCTCGATCTGTTGTCCCCCGTTGCTTCGGCCGCTATCTCCGGGCGACCAGCCAGCAGCACACCCAGGCGCCACGCTCGCGCGGCCAGGCAAGATGCGGGTGAGTTTGTTTGTTTTTCATAAATGCGTTGGTAGTACGGGGCCTGCGGATGTCCTGCTTTCCCTCACTCTCTTTGGCTCGCTCGCATGCTGGCCCTCGTAGCTGCAGCCAACCCTGCTTCGGCACGCAAGGCCCAGCGGGGTTTGCCGCTTGGTCGCAAGAACCCTTCTGCCATGCTCGAGGTCATACGCCGGCAAAAGGACATGATTGCCGCTGTCAAAGACTTTGAGTTTGCCACTTCCTGAAACCATTTGGCAACACCATACTGCCCCACCCTGTGTAAGATCAAGGAGGAAAAGACTGACCTACCCAAGAGCCAGTGGCGAGAGTAAAGTTGTCTGAATTGTTTGCCGGATTGTCTGTTTTTGTGCAAGCGTCAATGGGCTAAAGCCTCAGTGGTCGGAAGTAGCCATTTTCCCTTTCCAAGCGCACTTTCTTCACCGACAATTGCTTTCTTGTTGTGCAAAGCCACAAAACGCCGAGTGACGCGGGATTTCTCTACATCCTCAACAATTGACACGAAAAGCGACTGTTGCTCGTTTTTTAAAGCAAGCGTCGCGTTCTGAAGGTTCTTGTGGCTTTGTGTGTCAGGCTCCAGCACGTCTGGAGGCCGTCTTTGGGTTGCGAGGAAGCGCGTAGGTTTGAGGAAGCGTTTTGAGAGAGGTTTGAGAGACGTCCGTCGGAGCGGAGCGAAAGCTTTGGTGGTGTCTTGAGGTCAATTGAACCAGCTGCGGTCGGCAAGCATTCACAGTGACCAGACCAGGTGCACCGTTAGAATAGCTGTAGAGTCGCTCAATCCCGAGGATAGGGAAAGTCACAAGAGAGCAGAGCACACAGGAGAGCAAGGGGAAGACAGAATGGCAGAGGGCTTGACGTACCTGCGGTCGGCAAGCATTCACAGTGACCAGACCAGGTGCACCGTTAGAATAGCTGTAGAGTCGCTCAATCCCGAGGATAGGGAAAGTGCAACTCGTGCCCGACCGCAGGTGTCACAACAAAGGGAAACAACAGTAGCCACAAGCTTATTGCCCCAGGGCAGCTGCCCAGGCATCGTGGGGACCGCGTCACACGCGGTGTTTACTCATGTGACTGCCACGAGGAGGATCAAGCCCAGGGGGTCCAAAAGTAGGTGTCAATGTGTGAGGTCGTCGTAGCTATGGAATACCAATAGGAAGACCCATAGCGACCGATGCTGAGTGTGTGCGAAAGCAGTGGGAGTGTTCAAATGCGTGGAAGCACGGATTTGACGCTAACACCCCCCCTCGCCAGCCGGAGCCCCGATCCGGCGAGGATGGTTCAAAGACAAACG